TAATATAATTAGTAATACTTAAGATAAAAGCATTTGTACAGAATAACAAAGGAACATAAATATTTTTCAGCAAATTTTATACCTAAAAAATTTGTTATAGTTGCAAAACTTTTGTAACATTACTAAAATGGAGATGAAAAACACGAACAGTGAGTATTAATGCAATTTCTATCACAGAACCTTTAAAATTGCATCCAACATTTTCTTTGACTTGGACGAGAGATGGGCGTGAGTGTCATTTCATTTCTTTAGAACTAAATTAACATAATTATTTTCTCGTTGTTTTACCAGTTCACATGATTTACGGATTTTAAATAAAGGATGTAAATCTTCGCGAGGATAATACGATATATTTGCTATATATAATAATTATATTTTCCATAGTTTACACAGAATACATTTTTGAACGCGTACGCATCTTTACCCGAATTTAACGCGCAATATCTACGATGTCCGAGGTCTGTAGGTTCGCAGTGTGTACAACTGCACTCGATTATTAGCGCTGTTGCCACATCTACATAGTCTTTATGCGTTCTTTAAATATAATTTAAAACTACTTAAATATGATATTTTTATGTTGTTAATTAGTCAATATGTATGCTATGTGCATATAAGTAGATTTCTTTGCTATATAGATAAGGTTTATCGCAAATAATTTGAATAGAATTTAATTTTTTCAAATTGGCGGCGGGCTTTAGTCCCATAAGAAAAGCATAGGACCCCCCCCCATGCGCTCCTCACTTCCCTCGGATCCCGATATACCTCCTTAATACGATACGATACTTTCTCAGTATCGATATTAGTAAAGTATCGAAACAGAAGTATCGATACCCCCTAAGTATCGAAGTATCGTTCGCGTCCCTATAAGTATCAAATATTTATTTTAATTGTTGCCTATTTTAAAGTAAAAAATTATATTTCTGGGTAGAAATTTAAAGTAATTAAATAAATAAATAATAAGAAAATATTTTCTTGCGTATATATAAACGTGTGATACCTTAAAATCAAATGTACAGGGTGGGCAAATAAGCGAGCTAAGCGGCTGTATCTCAGAAACTAATGATCGTAGAGAGCTACGGTAAAAAATTTTATAGGTAAAGTGGGCAAGGGAAAATGCTGGAAATTATTTTCAAGTTTCCAAGATGGCCGCCAGTGGGCGTTTCCACCATCTTGAATTACATAAAGTTACGTTTCTCGCGATTTTCCCCAATGAATGTAACAAAAAAGTATTTGCGTTTTAATGTTAACTTAAAGTCGAATATTTTTTGTAAAAACAATTTTTCTCTATCTTTCGAAATAAAGTGGTGGGGGGTATTTGAATGTTGTTTTAAATAAATGCCTGTAACTTCGAAACGGCTTAATGGATTTGGATAAATTTGGTATCATTGAAAAGAGCATTTCTTGGGCTTTTAGGTTTCTCGTAATCATGACAGTTGCGACCTACACGGCCGCCGATAGAGGGCGTTATTCGATATTATAACCAAAATATTGGATTTTCTCAAAAAATTTAAATGCGATGATATGACTTTTTTTAGACTAGAAAATAGACAAATGACCAACCAATAAGCCTGCGCAAACCGCATCTTAATATCTTTTTCCTAACTCAAATTATTTAAAAAAATACTAAACCAGGAAAATTCATATATCCCCATTTAAAAATGCATCGGTTGCTTTCGATAAGAAGGCAAGTAGTAGGCCATGGACACGACAATCGCCTAACAAAAATATTGCCAAGTAACGTCAAACTTTTGTCACACGCAGCCTAATATTGTTGATTGCGTATAATTTGAGTACTTTTTAATCAAAATGCCTCTCACAAATAATGAAGCCGTTGACATGATTGCGATTTATTTCGAGTGTTTTCAAAATGCAGCTATAGCTGCAAGACAGTACGCGGCACGGTATCCAGATCGCCGTCATTACGGGAGAAGAATGTTTCCGCGCTTGGTACAGCGATTACGCGATACTGGAAGTTTTCGTCGTCCTAAACGTCGCAGGCGTCGCAATGGAAGGACCGAAGAAAACATTATCAATGTCTTGGCTTACATAGAATTTGATAGACATGTAGGAACTAGAACATTGTCTCTAGACTTGGGAATAGCACGAACAACTGTTAGAAATATTTTGAAAGATTATAGGTAAATAATTTTATCTTATTCCAAGTATCTTAGCACATACTCTCAAATACACAATTCAGTGTTATTCTGATTATATTATTTTTACGCATATGTTGTTTTTTACTTTTAGATTACATCCTTACCACATAGTTTTGCACCAGGCGCTAAATGAACAAGATTTCGATAATAGATTAAATTATTGTCAATGGATGCTAGGCATGCTTGAGGAAAACAGAAATTTCTTAACGGAAATTCTCTGGACCGACGAGGCTACCTTTAGTAGTGATGGTAGAGTAAACCGTCATAATATGCATTATTGGTCCGCTGAAAATCCGCATTGGTTAAGAGAAGTGCAGCACCAGGGACGCTGGAGCCTAAATGTGTGGTGCGGTATCATTGGGGACAGAATTATTGGACCTTATTTTTTTGATCAAGCTTTAACTGGTAACCGCTTCTTAGAGTTTTTGATCAACGACTTGCCAATTTTGTTGGAAGATGTGCCACTCGAAACTAGGAGAACTATGTTTCTGCAATTAGATGGTTGTCCGGCACATTATTCAATTAATGTCCGAAACCATATTAACGGGACCTTTCGAGAACGCTGGATAGGAAGGGGAAGCCTATTTCCTTGGCCGGCAAGATCTCCGGACTTGACATGTCTTGATTTTTACTTGTGGGGACGCTTAAAAGACATTGTTTTTCAAACTCCACCAACAACACGAATGGATATGGAAAACAGAATTCGAAACTCAATTCGTCAACTATCAGCGGTAGAAATCGAGGCTGCGGTTCTGTCGACTCAAGAAAGACTGGAACAATGTGTGGAATATGACGGAAGGCAATTTGAACACAGAAGGCATTAATCTTTTTTCAAAATCGGTCCTTTTCAGGACCACAACTTTATTTAAAAGGAAAATCGCTTATAAATACGAAAACGTGCGACTTAAAATCACAGCACTAAATAAACTGACATTTCTTGTGAATATTTTAGAGAGGAGTTTGTCTTTTATTTCCATGGCCTACTACTTGCCTTCTTATCGAAAGCAACCGATGCATTTTTAAATGGGGATATATGAATTTTCCTGGTTTAGTTTTTTTTTTAATAATTTGAGTTAGGAAAAAGATATTAAGATGCGGTTTGCGCAGGCTTATTGGTTGGTCATTTGTCTATTTTCTAGTCTAAAAAAAGTCATATCATCGCATTTAAATTTTTTGAGAAAATCCAATATTTTGGTTATAATATCGAATAACGCCCTCTATCGGCGGCCGTGTAGGTCGCAACTGTCATGATTACGAGAAACCTAAAAGCCCAAGAAATGCTCTTTTCAATGATACCAAATTTATCCAAATCCATTAAGCCGTTTCGAAGTTACAGGCATTTATTTCAAACAACATTCAAATACCCCCCACCACTTTATTTCGAAAGATAGAGAAAAATTGTTTTTACAAAAAATGTTCGACTTTAAGTTAACATTAAAACGCAAATACTTTTTTGTTACATTCATTGGGGAAAATCGTGAGAAACGTAACTTTATGTAATTCAATATAGTGGAAACGACCACTGGCGGCCATCTTGGAAACTTGAAAATAATTTCCAGCATTTTCCCTTGTCCACTTTACCTATTACTTTTTTTACCGTAGCTCTCTACGATCACTAGTTTCTGAGATACAGCCGCTTATCTCGCTTATTTGCCCACCCTGTACATTTGAAGCAAGATTTTTTTTTGCGTGTAGTCTCTAAAATCCTGGTCCGATACATCCAATAGTTTATTAACGTTATAAAAAAAGCTATCTCTATTTAAATTACTATAAAAATGAGCTCTATTTAATGTAAAAAGAGCGAATTCCGGAGCGGCTTTTGCCTGACCCGGGACAATTTGTTTATAACGCTGTTTCCTATTTTGTTAGTTGTACAAGGCAACTTAATTTCAACTTTTTGAAATTTCTCTTTTTCGATACGTTTCTTTGGATCAATTAGAACCTATATCTACAAGATTATCTTCTAAAATTAACGTTTTGCAATTAAACAATTAATTGCAAAAGAAACTAACGAATTTAATTAAAGATATCTGGAACCACAGTTTCACGGTCAATCGAATCGGCCTTTGGCATACATGTTGGTCTTTGGATTGACCGTCTTTTCCATAAATTTCATCAACATCCATCGCTTTTTGAAATAATAATGGACAAAACTGATATTTCCGCGTTCGACCCGAGGTTCGACCTTTATTTTACAGTTAACAAATTAGTGAAAAATGGATCTAGGTACCTTAAGTTGTAGGTAATTTACTTGCATACAACATAAACTAATTATCCGATAGGTCGTCTAGATTTTCATGGGTGGCAAAAAAAAAGTGAAAAAACACGTTATTTTTCCACTTATTCCAATTAATGGCAATTTGCCATCTTAGCCTAACTACTTTCGAGTTAGTTTTTTGATATTGTCATTCCCCAGCATAAAGTACAATAAAACGTCTACTAATAATTTTTTCACGTTCAAACTAATTCGACTGGAGTATAGGTACAAATGTGAAAAGTAAAGCGTTTATTTAAAATAACTGTTATCTCCCATTATCAGTATTATCTCTTGTCCTCGCTTTGCGAACGTCTTTTTATCTATTTGGCACTGCTTATTGCTAGAATTTTGACGATTTTTAGAGCAAAGTGCATCTATCTCGCGACATTCTCGCCATTTGTGAGTTTTATTATAAACGTATTACATCAACCTTGACGGCGACGCGAAACCTCTGAAGTGATTAAGTGTAATTGAGTTTGCAATTCACTTTATTAGAATCTAGTCCAAGACAACCTTATAAAGTGCTCGCTCGGTCGTATCAGGTGGCAATTAATAGCTTTTACTGACGCATCAACCCATTTTCACAGTTTACCTTCTGCGAAAAACCGACCGACCCGAACTGCGCCCGGTTTTCAGTTTTAAGGGCGTTTCGATCGTGCCGACAGTGTGACCGATAGTGACAGACATGAAGAATAAAAGTAAAAATAAAGTTGATAGCAAGACCGCTTCGGAACAGCTGATCATAACCGAGCAGAGCAAATCCAACACCATGGAAAAACCTCCGGTGGACAAGAAGAAGCTGGCTGCTCTGGAGAAAGAGAGGCTGAAGCAGGAGAAGAAACTGCAGGAGAAAATGAAAAAGGGTGAGTAGGGAGAGAGGAATTTCCTTCGCAAGTCGAGTGGTTTCAAAATGTGTATTATTAGGCCAGTCATTATAGTCATATTCGGGAAAAAAATACTATTAGAAGTTTTTTTGCGGAATATTGTTCAGAAACGAGTTATAAACAAAATACCATAAAATCAATTCGAGACTAGTTGGGAAACTTTGTTAAAACAATGGTTAAAGTTATGGAAAAGTGGTTTTTTGACTCGCGTAAAAAAAAATTGTATTCATAGAAAAAAAAGGTTTATACAAAAACAAGTCCGTACAAGTCAATACAACTAGTTAGGTACAAAAACAACTAATGATCAAAACTCTACAACGTCTTTGAGCTTGGGAAAAATCAATTGAAAATAGCATCTTCTTAGATAAAAAATTCCGCCAACGCCAAACTAGTGAAGCTTTCGGGCTGAAATTTTTACCACTTATTAAGGGTGTAAAAAGCCTCAAAAATCCTGAATTACAAGTGTGCGATAAAAATTGCATTAATTATTGGCAATTGAAAAAAACGGCCATTTTCGACCATTTTTGAACTCTTGCGCATAAACACATCGGAATTTTTCGGACTTGTCTTATTTTATAGACTTATTTAATATCTACCGTTTTTGTATAAACTTTTTTTCGCTATGAATAATAGTATTTTTACACGAGTCAAAAACCACTTTTCCATTGGTTAAACAAAGTTTACCAACTAGCCTCGAGTTGATTTTTTGATATTTTATTTATAACACGTTTTCGAACAATATTCCGCAGAGAAACTTCTAATAGTATTTTTTTCCCGAAACAGGCTGTTTCATGTCTATAATGACTGGACTATATAAGCTTTTTATCTGGTCCTACAGATTTGTCCACCAATAAACTTACTATTACAGATAAAAATTAAATATTTGACTTTTGTACATTTTTTGTTCAGTTTATTTCTATGTAAAATCCAGTGGCGCACTCGATATTTTTCTATAATTTTAGTATTTTCAATTATAATAGCATTTTTTTTAATCGAACACCCTATAGGGTTTTTTGATAATCAAAATATAAGACAATGTTTTCTTCTCGATCATGGGCCTATCGTCATTTGTTTTTGAGATACAGAGCGTTCAAAACATTCTTTATAATCAAATTTCAGTCCTATCTCTTCCAAAAAAGAAGGTATGTATTGAAATTTGGTACAGATAAGTTTTCGAGGGTGTTAAATATGTCAGTGGTATTAGTTTTCGGCCATCTGTGAGAGGTCGCTAGCTACGACCTTTCTCAGTGACGTTTTAAGACAACTTTTTTGAGGTTATGTTTTTTTATGGTGTCTCATTTCTGTGTTTTTTTTTTTAATGTCGTGTATTGCAATGTAAAGTTTTAATTTACTAAATAGATACTCTTGTTAAAATAACGGAAAACTTCGAAGTCAGTCAACATGCTTCGAATTTTTGTTTTTTGTTTGTGCGTTTTCAAAAGTTTCGACAATGATATCGATTTTTATGTAAAATTTATAATATACACAGTAAAAAACTTAACCTCAAATAAGTTATGTTACTAAACTAACTACACTAGTATATTTAGCTCCCTTAAAAACCCTTAAAAAAATTAAACGCTTTTATTTTTGAAGGGATATGCCTAAAATTTGATTTAAAAAAATATCTTTGACGCCCTATATCTCAAAATTAAAAAACGATAATCCCGTGATCCATAGTAAAAGTCCTACTATTTTTTGATGTTCTATCGATTTCTGAATCTGTAATCTTTTTCCAAAACACCTTGTTTATATATTTTTAGATTTTTGTTTCTTCAAGATACAGTTGAATTACGAAATACAAAATAATTTGTTGTGTTTATATCCTAAAAAAAGTAAAATAAATAAATGATGTCCTGCTTGAAACATTATTTGAAAAACAATTTTACGAAGGTTCCAAAAAATCGAAAAATATAAAATGCTACATTAAAAAACATGTTTTTGTAACAGCTGAAAAACCGTATAAAATATCTTTCTACATAAATGAAATATTTTCAAAAAGCAATAACTTAAGACATTATAGAAAATTTGAGAAAACAGTGTTTTCTCAAACGAATCAAAATATTAGTAGTGTTTTTTCACCTTTCAACTTTTCTGACATCGAAACTACTTTTTTCAATTTTTTTTTTAAAGAAACCTTAAAAGGGTCGAAATTGTTTCCCCCTGTATAGGGTATCCCGAATTGCATAGGCCAAAACTGTACCTGATGAGAGAATGTCATAAAACAAAAAAAGAACGTTCCCATAAGCATGAGTGGGGGAAATTGTTAGTTTCTGAAATACATGGTGTTCAAATTAAAATTTATGGAAATTATGTTTTGAAAAAATACGTTCAAAACACCTAAAGGTAGACAAATTTAATTTTACAGAATGTATTTTATTCTTTGTTCTTCGTAATACAAAATGACTATTATGGAACAGGATCATCCAGGACCGAGTAATGTCCTTTTTGGTGTGGCATTTTGCACTTGTTAGACATTACATTAAAATTTTGACCTTTCTCGCATAAAAAAACGTTTCTAGCGTTTTTTTTATTGCAAATTACCAATTTTCCATTATAAATATATTGTAAATGAAGGAAACAAAATTAATATCGTTTTTGTTTTGGTTCTGGTCTTAAATAAATGAAAGAACCGAATCTGAAACGTTCAAGTAAACAATTTCGTGCGCGACAAGAGCGACGTTCACGAGCATGCGCAGGCCGGGCGCTCCTTCCGCGTGCAGACTGTTCATTAACGTTAACTTTTACTGCTGCTGGCGACTTTATTATACGAATGAACCATCAAAGTAAAATAATGAAAATAAAAGTGCAACCCTTTCTTTAATTGTCTCTAAAACCCCAATAGTTAATTAACGATTAACATGATACAAAAAAAAGTTTTCTTGGGAACAAAGAGGCGTAGGTGATTTCTCTTTTTTTTTTAATTAGCGTAAAGATAAGATATATTTAATTTAAAAAGAGCGAATTCTCGAGCAGCTTTTCGCTGACCCTGGGACAATTTGTTTAAAACGCAATTTTTACGTCCTACTTTGTTAGTTATAAAAAGGGCAACTTAATTTGAACTTTTTGGAATTTTTCTTTTTCGATACGTTTCTTTGGATCAATTAGAACCTACATCTACGATATCAACTTTACTAAAATTAACGTTTAGTAATTAAACAATTAGTTGCAAAAATCGAACGAAATTAATTAACATATGTGTATTTTTTTGCCAGCTATCCATTGAATCTATTTTCGGTGAGGTAGCATAAATGGCAACAATTTTATTCAAATTTTTTATAAACAATTTGAGAATGTTAATGTCAAAAAAACGGTGATATTTTTTAATAGGTCGCTTAATTACGTCTTTGAGATTACAATGACGCTTTCAAAATCATGTTTGGTTGAAAATTAACGCCTGTACAGAGGCTTAAAGTTCATAACTTTTGGACCTTCCGTTATAAACAAATAGAATTGTGCGAAAACTACTGTACCTACAGCGCCCACTTTTGGCACACTTTTGAAGTATGACAAAACCCTCAACTTGTCATAGGTTTTTATAAAATTTTAACAATAAATGCGATAGTTATAAACAAATTAAAAATGGCCACTTTTCTTATTTTTTTGCAGTAACTTTTTTGTTTTTTAACCGATTTTAATTTAACAAGTCTCATTTGGTAGATAATTTTATTCCCTACAAGCTGTCTGCGAGTCACTTTTCGCTAAAATTGATAATTTTCTCTGCAAAGTGAAAAAACTGTTTTCCTCACTTATTTGTTTAAATAGAAAAGTTTGGTAATCAAAATTTTTGACTCACGAAATGAGAGATGTCTTGTATCATGTTCCCTTAGACAATTTTGCAATAATCTCGCGGATAGGAATTTTTTCGAGTAAAAATTTTATTTGCTAGGCCTACTATGCTAGAGTCTCTGCCTATGCAAATCGCGACGCCCTGTATATTTGACAGTTTCGAACTAGTTCCTGACATGTTCTTAAATTAAGCACACATCTCGTCAGACAGAGATTGGCGTTTTATAATATAAACTTGATTTAATTATAAATATATATACCTATATTTTTTTTTGTTTCGACGTGTGTATTTTTTAAAATAATTTAATTCGGATGACAGTAATGACAGAAACAAATTATTTATAATAATATTTTATCTAAGAAAATGTCTTCATATCAAGCAATTTATGATAGAATTATTAATAAAACTGATGAATATTTATATTAATGGAAAGTAATGAATATTGATATTTGTACATTTTGTTTACAAATGGCTTATTTCCAGGGAACCCACATACAATTATTGCAAAACTTCCCGGGACCAAACGAACGCAGCACTTCTGTTTGTCGTGTCATAAATTACTGTAATGAAACTTATCTCACTGTTGCACCACATACCAAATTAATTTTTCGTGTATGTGCACACATCTGAATTGAAATTCGACGCAAACAGAACCATTGTGCGTCGGCTATTGTGGTCTCTCGTGCGAAACAAAAGATTACCACATTTTGTCCATTTGTTTCAGTATATTGTGTCATATGCCGCAAAAATAATTAAGATTAAAATTAATAAAGATGCGCATAAGGTGAAAAAACATTGTGATTTTTAACTAAACATCGCACTTTCCAGTTGCCTTTACATTATGTCAATATAAAATAATTTAATGAGTATTGCACCCTGTCAAAAAATGCTTGAGAGTTAAATGACCTCTGACTGAGATGGATTCGTTTGTATGCAGGTGTCGTGGTGTTGTTTTTTGGAAATATTTAGAAATAGTCAGTGTAAATATATGGATAGACACACATCAATTTCCAGAAATCCGCTATCACTTCCTATCAGTTAATACTTAACTATAGAGCTAACTAAACTAATCTAATAAAGGCGTAGAAGCCACAAATGTAACAAAGTGCCCTTACTGCAGATGTCAAAGTCACATCTGTTCCAATGTTTCTTTAAAAATGTCCATAAAGATTTTTAAAAAATTCAAAGTATT